TTAATGATATCCTCAAAAAAAGCTTTTAAGACCAAATTAAAATAGGAAGATAAAACAGAAGATATAAAAAAAAAATATTTATAAAAAATGTTTTTTTAAATTGGAAAAACAAGCTGAAGTCCCTAACATTTTTTGGAAATTTAATTGTTAAAAAGAGCAGAAATACTTGCAATATACCTTTCTTTCATCATCATCTCCTAGCAGCCTTAAATCACTTCTATGGATTCCATCTATAGACATCTTCCTTCCATTAGAATCAACATTAGGAGGTGGTGCGACCCGTTGTCCACTGGGGTCAATCCATTTGTAGGTTGACTCTGCCACAAAAGTGTTAGGAATACAGCCTACAGATCGAACAACCATATTGAGTTTCTTGCTGCTTTTGATTATCTGAAATCAGGAAAAAAGCTTATGACAGATCCATGTGGTAGGGGCAAGTGTTTGCACCCCCCCACCCCCCCTGAAACAACCTTGTTATACTTTTGAATTTTTTCCACAAGCAACTATACACTGTACTTCTTGGAATTCTTGTGTTATGGCAAAAAGCTGGCAAAAGTTTTTGTCTGATTCTAATCTCTTAGGACAAGTTCGAGGACATAACCCTCTTTCAAAGATCCTTGTGTGGGCAACTGGATCAAATGGGGTCAACGGAGCCTGCAAACATTTTTTTTCTGAACCTCACAAGAAAAATGCAGTTGTAAACTCATATAAAACTTTGTTGACTGAGAAAAGACCTATTGTCGAGTTYTGGAACATTGTTGGTCAAAATTATTGTATTGATTACACAGGAAGACCAACTAAGTCTATTTCCATTGGGACAGCCTTTGAAGGGGGCTAAATTCTCCTGTTTTTGCATGTCTTTGTGACATGCACAATCCCTCTATGTATGTGTGGCCTTCAACTTTCTCTAAAGACAATAGTTTCTAGATCCACCAATGAGAGTTTTATATCAATCATAATATGTATAGCCTGGGTTGGTTTAGTGGTTAAATCTTTGCAACAATTAACATTTTCATTTTAGTAAATTATTTCACTTTTTCATTTTCATATTGTGGACTGTTGTTTTGACATTATCCATGTTTAATCAAGAACTGTGTAAAATCACAAAAAAACAGGTTTTTGAACAATGGTATTTTATTACCAGAATTTTCTTTTTTATTGCTGAATAAAATTCTGTTGATGATCGACTCGCACAGCAAAGCTGTGTACAGTTGTCATAGCAATTCAGTGGTATTTGCAGGTGGGCACCAAGGGTTTACTAAATCTTGCATTCTAAAGCTGTCAGAACCCATTAATAGCAGTTTTATAGAATTCTTTAGTAGGAAAACAAAGTTACCATGATTTTGTAGCAAGACTCAGTATCATACTGGATAAGCTAAGCTAATTTAAATCACTCCACAATTCACAAATTGGAAATTGGAAATTCAAGCTTGCCAAATAAGAACTGCAAATATAATTGTTTACCACATATTTTTAAATATGTAGTACTAAGAATTTTTTAAAAGCTATAATTAATTAATTATTTAGATGAGCTGAAAGATCAAAAAGATACACCAAAAAGAGTGGGGAAAGTCAATAAATAAAAACAAACTCGCAGCGCTTTTTCAAGCRCGAAATATATATTATGCAAATAYAATTTCATTTGAGAAGCACGTTTTATCAAAAAACAAACACACTTCAGTGAATTATTGCGTACTGTGTATTTAATCCCGGGTGACGTTTATATAAACACAAAGTAAAGCAAAAATTATACTAACATCAAAAAGTATCGAAAAAGATCTTTTTTAATATTGAGAAACCCAAAAAGTTTGAGCTAATGACAAAGCGATACATTTTAAATGTTTGMATCGTACCGGAAGACATCGATATGTCAACAAACGACAACCTTCTGTGTTAGTAACTGTTTTATCACAAATCACAATTGTCTATCGGTTTACACTGTAATAAATTCACAGTATTGCTTCGATGATACGCAAATCACATACCATATTGTACTTTAATTCTGACATCCCTACTTCAGGCCACGGTTGGTTAGCTGTTGCACTTGGCAACGACATGAAATATTAAAAGTTACAATCAACGAGTGATGGCTGGTATCTTCCCTTGCGTGTTTGCGCGGAGTTTTGCTACACATCGACATGAAAGATTTTTCTTTTGTTTTGTGAAAGTTTTACTAATCTAAACCTTTTTGTAGAAGCTCCAAATGATAGAAAAGGTTTAATCTAGGGATTTAAAGTTATTAAGAAAAGTTTGAAAAGAATCATATAACAAACCTTTACAGCTTGTTTGTGGGCCAACCCATCGAACTGCACGTCATTGACGGATAGGATGTGATCTCCTGGTAATAATCCTTCATATTCAGCCAAAGAATTCTCGTCYACAGAAGATACATAAAGCCCAATTCCGTGCTCTGAACCACCRCGCATTGAAAAGCCATAACCCATACCTTGYGATCKTTTGATATGTATTCGTCTGATCGGRTACTTCTGAGCAGTTCTCGGCAAGTGAGAGCCATTTTTCAAGTTAGGAAGATCAATCCCTGAGTCATATTTGTCTAGATTTCCAGGTAAACTTGAGTGGAATTGAGGTCTTTGTWGCGGGTCGAGTGTTCGGTTAGGTGAACGGGATCTTGTCAAAGTCCATTCTCTACTCGAGTGGAGTGATTGTGGCCGACTTTCGGAGTGCCAACTTTTCTCAAAATATCGTCTATCGCCAGACGGAATTATTTCCCGCAACAGAGGATAAACTTCACGTTTTCTTGGTGAATCTAAAACACTTTTCAAAGACGTAACAAGCTCGATGATATCRCGATCTTTTTGATAYTGGTTAAGTGAGCGTATGAAATACGCGCGATCCTCATCGCTCAGAATATTGACCAGTTTGTCGTGAAGAATGCGTACGTTTTCCGAGATATTCCTCCGACCACGTCTCGGAGTCGTCATGACATCTCACTACAACCTGCTCAAGTTAAAGTAACACTTTCTCTATGTAAAGGCATGATCACAATGCTAATCCTAAGTCCTGTTTCTGTTCACGAAAGTTTTTTTCCGCTGATCGTCGRGATCAAGTTGTCAAACAACATTTGCACACGTGACCTCGATAAGAGAACTGATTTGCTGCGCGAATGTGATAAGGAATTCACAAGTTGATTTTCAACATGTTGAACAACAGCTACTTCAGTCGAAAGACTAGCAACTGTATTTCAAAAACTCCTCTTGTCAGGGGAAAGGAGTTTGTCTGTATCACACATCCTGGTTAAAATTTTGACATTCTTAAAAATATATTGTCACTTCCCACTTATTTCTCATTCCCAGTCCCACTRCATTCCCATTTACACTGCCACTTGACCTCTCAAGGAATATAGGGTGTGTAAAATGTAAGTCATCTTTTAAGAAAATACTCATTTATTTTCAACAGGTTTATTTAGTTTTCTTTATTTAATAACATAAATATTCGTTGAACTCTTCAATATTCATTAAAAAAATAATGGAATTGAATTTGTTGTTTTTGATGTGGGATGACTCTAACAGGATAAAAAAATAGAGYTTCATGCCAACAACTACAATTGCACAGAAGTTAAAATCAACCTTCTAAAACCAGGGTAGAAAATACTGATACACAAYCCTCTTCCATATAAACCTTCAGAAAAAAAACTATAAAATAAGGTCCAAGTAACCACAAATATTTCAGAAGACCTGGAGACCATCCAATGGACACTTTGTGGAATTGACAGTAAGCCASGTTCTAATACACTTACTATGGAAGAAATGATTACATTCAAGGTACATAACAAGCTGTCCTAGTTCATATTCCTCCATGCAAATCATACAGGGACTTTCTGACTTTCTATCTATATGTTCTGTCCTTAGCTTGTCGATGACAGATTTCGGAACAGTTTTAACTTCAACAAATGTGTCTAATTGCAATAAGAGGTCAAAATCTTCTGGCGTTATCTCTCTTTCCTGAATGTTAATAAGCTGCGACAGTAAAGTCTCACTTTTAAACTTGTCRCCGTTATCTCTTCTTAAGACATGRTGSCGTTCATGAAYCATGCTATTTGCAGGTCTTCCTGGACTTGGTACTGAGGCAATACCAGGATTGCTTCYGCTCTGTACAACAGGGCCTCTCCTTGGAGTATCATTAAGTCGAAGACGTAACTCTACATTTTTGGCTTTTAATTCGCTATCTCTTATCCGCTTTGCAGCCTTCTTTGCTTCTCTCTTGATAAGGTAYATTCTTGTGCGMCYGTGRTTCTTSAAATTGCAAAAATGAAYTGACATTGTACCATCAGGGTCGACATCTTTGTTCTTTATAATACCTTCTAGGTACCTGGTATTTGATCTCTCTTTAGAGACCAAAGATACGGGCTTTATTTTTCCTTTTCGAGATATTTTCCCTCGTTTTAAGTTGTAGAAATCCAATTTSGATGGAAACTCGAAGTCCAACTCTTCGCTGTCAGCTGAACWTGMTGWCCATTCATCTKCTGAATCTTGCGATTCACTGTTGTAATATCTTTCGTGAAGTCTGTCATTRAACAATCCATTTAGTAAGTCCACTTCAAGTTTCTTCAATGACTGGTTTTTGCCATTCTTAGATGGTTTTCTCTTGTTTCTGATCGGTCTTGATCTTGATGGAAGATCTTGTTCAACAACACTTTCACAGACGGAACCTGACATCACAAAAATTATATTTAGAGCAGTTGAAAATTGATTAAGTTTTGTCTTCAATCAATACTAAGACAGCAATAACCTGAAGTATAATACTGAGATTTATATACCTTAGTTCCATAGAAAATTACGTATTTGCCATAAATACACCTCGTTTCTTGTTGTGGTGCAATCTTCTCTCTGCTTTCGAGTCTGTGCCCAGTCCTACGCGTCGCTCATATCAAAACAAAAATACAACAAAAAATACTAATAAAAATAGAGGGAAAATAGAATCCAGTTTGGTTTRAATACTGAATTAACTTTTAAACGTTTACTGTAAGATTTTGTTCTAGTTTGCCAAATTATTAGCGCTTCGAAAAGAATGTTCAAATATTTTAGTTAGTTGGGCTTCCTGTTTCAGCCKTCAGTTCTATCCAGCGGTTGATCATATAAAGAAAACATGGCGGCCTTCTACATGTAACTGAAGTGAAGCGAAATGAGTGAAGAAGAAGAATCCAGTGATGTTCAAGAGGCTCACAGTCAACAGAAAAACACAGAGGAGGAAGCAGAGTCAAGTATATCGTTCAACCCCCCGGTCTACCGACAAAGGTATCAGGTTGTTAGTGAAATGGTCAAGAAATACGAGGCAAAGAAGGTGAGATTCTGCACTCTGATGCTTTTGTTTAGATATTTCTTTTGTTTTGTAAACGCATTATTACAGAATAAAGCTGCGCTCACAATGTAAACTGCAGGGGGAGGGGTAGAGTATATTTATTAGACTATGTAGGGGTGATGCAACATTGTTGCAATGATGCAAGGGTGGGGGTGAAATTGTGAGATTTGTATTCCCATAGCACCTCCTGTTCTGCAATTCATTTTTGGCAGAAAAAGAAAATAAATTTGATATCATCATTATTATCATCATCTGCCACTGAATTTGCACATATTTACCAGTATTATCATTATGTAAGAATTATGAACAAATTATGAATTATTTTATTCCTTAATTTTTTCCTCTCAGGTTTTAGATTTTGGCTGTGCTGAAGCAAAACTATTGAGAGCTCTAATCAGGAATGATACTATTAAAATGGAATGCCTTGTTGGGGTCGACATTGATGGAGARCTATTAAAAGAAAATGCTAGGATGATAGATCCATTGCTGTGTGATTGGCTGAATATTAGGGAAACGCCATTTACTGTCAGTATGTTTCAGGGT